CACACACACACACACACACACACACACACTCACATGCACATGGCCCTCATATGACCTTATGCAGTTGCGAATGCCGTAAATATTCTACTAAAAAATAATTGTTTAAAACGCAAGCACGAGCGCGCTCACACACACACATACACACACACACACACACACACACTTACAAATAAACATATGCATGGAGTAAAATACACACTCACTTTGTTGGAGGCAGGATCAAAAAACAAGTCACTGTAGATGAGGTTGGAGGGGCTAAGCTTGGGTGTGAGGTAATTCGCCATGCGGAAACTGTCCCCTGCACAGAAACAAATAACAATAGTTTTTCTAAGGCATTTAAAATCACATTACAGGTACTGTCCCAAAGGAGACTGGGTTTTTCGTGTAATGTTTTAGTGTTTTAGCATCTATAAATGGCAGCTTGCACTGTATGCTTCCCAGGAAGTTGAAATTGTTTCAGAATGCTATAAGCTCAGCTGGGGTAATAATATAGATTATAAAGCCTATAGAGCTTGCTGTTAAATGGGAATTTGCACTTTATAAATACTATCGATTATTATTATTATTATTACTATTATTAATGGTTAGGCTCTTCATAGCTGCTCGCAGAAATGGTCGCTTTTAAGCACAAGGGGGCAATCCTGAAAAATGCTGTTTTCAGAAAATCGAAGGTTAAGTTTTTGCCCCTTGTTCAGTTTCTTTAAAAGACAAGGAGAGTTTTCTCTATAACCAAACAAATATACACACCAATGAAACCAAACTTCTCCTATAGGCAGGGCAATGCCCACTTTTGGTGTTGGTCAAGATATCTGAAAACCCCCGAAATCTGGGTTAGCTCGCTTTTCCTTTAAAGTGACCAAATGTGAGCTTTATTCCCACGTGCAGAAGTTATTTTATCGAGAGTACTACTCCATCTATCTGCTCAAATGTTGTATCCCACTCAACCCATACTGGGATTCCTAAATGATTCAGATTATGTCATTAGAGCAGTAAAACATTTATTTGTCAGCAAGCTGTTTAAATGTCTTCAGCCCAAAAGGAGAAATTTTTCAGTAGGAAAAAAAACCTGTTTCATTCTTTTAACAATTGTTGTACCTTTATTGTTTCTTTTCTTGCTTTTTTTTTCAGCATTCAGAATTTGAATTTTGACAAAATATTTTTCAAACACGGAAGTCTTCTCTATCTGTTCATAACTTCCTCCCCCAACCCCCCCCCCCCCCCTTTCATCAAATCTCTCATTATGACAATCTCACCTTCATTGAACTTTCTACACAGTACCGACATGCGGAACCCAGAAGGCACAGCGCCCATCGCGTGGAGCACGTCTGTCACCGATGTTCCTGACATGTCCGACATCATCAGCTTCACACTGCCCCACAGTTTTTTGCCACTGAGGACAGACCAGGTAATTTTAGTTTTAGTTTTAGTAGGAGTTTTATAGCACTTGCAACACAATAAGGTCACATAAGAGATGAAGATTAGAGATTTTACAAGAGAGTCACAAACACAAAAAAGAAGGTAAGAAGATAAGGACAATAGATGTTCAATAGGAAAGAAGGAGCAAACCACACCAGAGCACCCACCAACCACCAACAAATACTTCAGAATCAAGAGAAGCAAATAGACGCAATATTGGTCAGTTGAGAAAAAGCAAGACAGACAGATAAAACAGAGGAATCATACAGTTGTAAAACCTACCTGTGGTATCCTAAAAACCACTCACACAAACCAGATAGACATCAGACTAACCAAAAAGGAATCCAAATCTCATTTAGATATTTTGTAAAGTACATTTTCCAAGACTACAATCCTTTGTTTCTAGTAGAACTGATGAACATCGCTGTCTAGTATCAGGAGCAAGCAGACAATCATCACGATGTATGTGCTTATGTGTGTGTGTGTGTGTGTAAGTGTGTGTGTGTGTGTGTGTGTGTGTAAGTGTGTAAGTGTGTGTGTGTGTGTGTGTGTGTGTGTGTGTGTGTGTGTGTGTGTGTGTGTGTGTGTGTGTGTGTGTGTGTGTGTGTGAGTTAAAGAGTGTGTTTATGTGTGCGAGTTTACCATGCTGCAACGAAATTCTCTTTGTGGAGATTAACAAACTGTTTACTTAGTTATGATCTAACACTATATACCATCATTTACGGAGATTTCCCAGCTAATCACTACTACTCGGTTCCGATGTATCTGAGATGGAATTTACAAGAGAGGGAGAAAACACCCCAATATTGTCTGGAAACATTGCCAGTATCAGAGTTCCAGTACATAAGAAGTCAGGACAAGCACTTCAGAAACTTTTCTATCTACAAACTCATGGGTCTCACCTCTTCTGCCTTGGAGACGCCCCTTCTTCATCCTCATCTTCTTCATCGTCTTCTATGGATAATAATAATAATAATAATAATAGATAACATTTGTATGGTGCAAATGTTCACTCAACAGCAAGATCTTTGCGCTTTACAATCAATATTATTACCCCAGCAGACCTGATAGCATTCTGAAACAATATCAACTTCCTGGGAAGCATATAGATGGAAAAAAGGAAATGATAAAATATAACACCAGCTACTGTTTTCAAGAGTTGAACATTTATTCAAAAGCAAAATTAATCCAGTTGAGATTTATGCAAATGATTTGAAATTCAGTCTTCCTCTAGCAAACAGCTGTGTATTAAGAATCAAACTTGAAATATCATCACTAAAGTTTACTTCCGCAAGCTCAAAAGACCTTACACAGTTGCTAGCGCCATAAAACACTTACCAAAAAAAGAGTTTGAGTAAAGAGAATCATATTGACATAATAATGGTCATTTAGCGCTGAGAACAATTAAGACAAGACAGAAATATCAGAGGGATACAAAATAGGTTGGACCTATCTGTGGTGCCCTCCAACCTCTCATTTCACAAGAAAAAACAAACTACAATTGAAAATTTAACTATCACAAGCATCATACCAGACATCCACACCAAATTTGGCCACTCACCTTCATCATGATCCTCCTCATCTTCATCTTCGTCGTCATCATCTCCTGCATATTCCTGTGTCACAAATTTACAACAGAAGAGGAATAAAAATCAATTGAAAAAAACCCCCTTGAGATTAAAGAAGGATGGAAGAAAGAAATCTGAGGAAGATTGGACTGGATGATGGAAAGAGAGGAAGAGAGGATGAAGGGAAAAAATAACAGTAGACAGGAACTAACTTCAAGAAAACACACATACACAAACATGCACACACACACACACACACACACACACACACACACACACACACACACCCACACACACACACACATAAATGAAGAGACTATGAAACACCTTTTCAGTACCAAAATGAAATGTGAACGGGCAACCAAAGCCAAATCTCATGGGTCAAACTTCTTCCAAGTTTATCAGAACCTTAAAATAATATTAAACCAACTAATCATTTTGTGTTCGAACAACTTTCCAAGTCACAGAAAGAAAAGGTATAAGACGCAAAGATCAAACCAACAGCAGCACATTCTCCTACGTTTGCCACCATTAAAAATGTGCAGAACATTGTTTTACTACTCATAAATGTACTACTTCATAATATCTAGCTAGAACAGTTTCTGAAAGACTCATCTCACAGATGACCTCACAGAAGTGTCCCTTCACTCATTTCAACTACACAGGTCCACTGCTGGTAAGAGCAACAAATCGCGACCTCAGTGCTATCTTGTCATATCTCCTTTTTTTTACAGTGAAAATGTGACATCTTCTTAAGCTCACTCTTTGTCATGACTTGTTTTCACCGTTATTAAAAATGGAAATACAACAAGAAAGCACTGGGGTCACGAAATGTCTGGCAAGAAGAGGTTGTAACTGGAAAAATATTTATTTTTCGGCAATTAAAAAAAAAACAACCCAGTAGTAGTAACCATTACCTTGATAACAATAATAATATGATAATACTGCTGTTATAATAATAGCTTGTCTATCAATGTCGGATGATGTCCAACACCTCCGCAGAGGAGAATATTTCTAATACTATTATTATAACAATAATAATCAGTATCTTTGTCATCATCATAATCCTCACCATCATCCCCATTACAACAATAACAATGATAATAATAACAATAATGGTAACATAACACGAACAAAGGTCATCATCATCATTTCCATCATTATAATAATAATAATAAAAACAAAGTTATTCCTTCAGAATTACTTCTTTCTATGAGGTACATTAGTCAGGAGCATTCTCCAAATATTTCCCCTCATTTGTCTCACCTGTAAGAACGTAGGTGGCACCAGCCCTCTCTCCCCTGCCTCGTTCTCTGCCACCCACCAGTCATCCTCCTCCCTAGGAATGACAACATAATAATAATAATAATAATAATAACAATTGCATTTATATAGCGCATATCCATGCTCAAGAGCGTGCTCTATGCGCTTTACAACTATTATTACCCCAGCAGACCCTCTGAGAACACTCAGAAATATTCTCAGCTTTCACAGAAGCATACAGTGCAAGCTGCGGATTTCACGCACTCAAACACTATCAAACTGACAAGATCGTTCACTGTCTATAGCCGGGTAGCCATTTTCACCTGGGTGAAGTAAGGAAAATTTGTGCAAAGAGCCTTTCCCAAGGACACAACGTCAGGTCCCTGATGGGATTTGAACCCACGACCTTACGGTTGCGAGTCCGAGAGCCTAACCACTAGACCACCGACGCCATGACAACATGTCAACAAAGCTTATTCCACAGCCGTAACCAAATAAGGAGTCCACGGGAAACCCAGGGAATAGTCACAAACTGAAAATCGTGAGGGTATCAATTTTGAACGCTTGCTGCAATTGTATTTCTATTCAACTGTTGGTTGATTATTGTTGTTTTATTTCCCATTCAACAAACATAACAATAAACCACGAATCAAACAAATATGGAGTTATGAGTCCACCAGCTTTTAAAATTGACACTCTCACAATGTCCAGTGTGTGACTATGCCTGTTTTTTCCATGGACTCCTCAAACACAACACAGAAACAACCATCTTTATTTCTTTCAAACATTATTTCGTAATTTTGTGAATGATTTTTTCACATTGAAAGCTTGGTGGTATCATGCTAATGCCCTGGACGATTCATATTCCTCAAAGCTTGTTCTTAAACTACAGTTGTTTAGGAGTTTTTGCTGCTCTCCATTTACTTAAATTGGCTACCTAAGAGGTTTCTGCACATTAAAAAAGCCCAGCAAGGGCATTAGAACCCTACCATATCAGGAGACAATGGTTAACTCGGAAATGAAATGGCCACATGACACAATTGTGATAAAAGGAAAGGTGTGGAGGACTAAGTTCTTCCTAAAGAGCATAACAAAAAGAGAGGATAAACTTTCCATAGAACAAAAAATATACCCATGTAGGCTTAGTTTGTCAAACAACAACATAAGAATGGCTCGATTGGGAATTATGTGCTGAAAATATAATTATTTATAAGGAAAAAGATCTATTTGAGAGGTATGTGCTACACAGGAGAAAAGGGTGTGATCCTCTCATCAGTATGTACAGGCACCAATCTTTTAGGTAAAAAACACTGATATTTCCTTTTTTAGATGCAGTTAATTTAAAGAGACATTGTACAATCTCTCTCTCTCTCTCTCTCTGTCTCTCTCTCTCTCTCTCTTTCTCTCTTTCGCACGCGTGCATGCACACCAAAGATTGATCAGTTTGATCTTTCTGCCAATAATTTTGTGTTAGGAAACCATTGTAAACAACTAGTATAATGCGCTTCATTACTAACAATCTTTGCCAGTACCCAGCTGAATAGATAGGTCAGAGGTCATGAGGTAACAGAACAAACGCTACAGAGTGACAAGATCGGACAATACATGGATTCTTCCCACTGTGTTGGAACACTGAACAATCCGTTCTCTACACACTGATATGAGTCATATAAAAGATGAACTAAGGAAAAGAAACTCAACAAGGTACTTACTGCATGAAAGCAAAGACATATTTTGTGAAAGAGATTTCAGAATGATCTCAAACTAAAATTCACACCCACAATACATTTACTTTGTTGTGATTGCTTTCATAATGAAATGAAAACAATGCAAAATAAAAAACAGATTTCAGGCACAAAAAGCAGACAGTTTTTTCTAAGAATTCAAAGACAAATATTTAAAAATGTGACAAACATTCACACTGAAAATTACCTCAACGACCTTCAAGCAACATTGAAAAACAAATTCAAAACAAGCTTAAAGAAATATGCAATGTTCCCTGGTGTGTTAAAGAATACAAAATGAAATAAATATCGAAACCAGTACACTTTTGAGTAGCCAATAAGTGTATACCTTGAGCAACGGAAACCACCACATTTCTTCAAATCTTGTGAAAGCACAACATTATGTTTGATATCAATAAACAAAAAATTTCAATTACCCATCTGAAATTGCAAATGTAACACATTCATTTTTTAATACCCTTTTTATTAAAAAATTGTGTACTCCAAAAACCGCATCACCATATCTGCAATCATTTAAGGGGAAATTAACATTACAATATTCCAACTATGCATTCAATACAATAGCACCTTTGAAAGATACTCCAACACACTCTAATAATATATCTGTTCTTCAGACTTAACATGAACAAATTCTCCAGTCTAACTCTAAGTGAGACAGCATAAAAGCATCGTGTCCTTGTCTGAGTCTGTATCATTATGACCTATTGATGCTTCATTACTACAAGAATACATATCTTATTAACCCTACCTGTATGCCTTGGGGTCATTTTGTACCCCCGGGGTAGTATTCTTCACATTTTAGAATATTTCTGGTACGAAAATCTCTTTGAAACTTTCAGTATTTCTCAAAAAATCATTTTGACAGACTGCTATGCAAAGCGTATGAATCAGATTAAAGAGCAAATTTTCTCTTTGGAAAGTGGTGGCACAGAGTTCCCCACGTCGTATGGATACGATAGTAAAACACGACGTATGGATACGGTTAAGAACTTGCCAAGATAAACTGGAATCTCCCCCCCCCTCCCCCCCAACAAAATAAATATTCCAAAAACAGTTTTATAAAGAAAGTAAGAAAGTAAAAAGCAAACAAAACTTGAAGACAATAAGTGACTACACAAGGGTCTTGATCAAAAAATATTACCCAAAGCAACAACCTTGAACAAATTTTAAGACAATCTCTTTCCAAATTTCAGAGCACTCAAAAGTAAACAACAACAGACTTTCTGAAAGGAAAGCTTCACCCCACAAGAATTTCCCAGAATCTAGAAAAACCTAATTTAAAATGGAACTCAGAAAGAAAATGTTCATCCTGAGTTGTCTCGAAGCTCACCTTTTCGCAACAAGGGTCAGGACATCTCCTTTTCTGAAACTAAGATCCTCGTCTTGCTGCTTATCAAAATCATCCATGGCCACAAATCTGGAAATCTGCCCATGTAAAGAAAAAAACCCCAACATGATATTCTATTAGATTCTTGAAAAAATTGTAAATAAATGTTACCTTAAACTATGTCTTTTGTTCAATATTCATCTCTCTCTCTCTCTCTCTCTGTGTCTCTCTCTCTCCTTCTCTCTCTCCCTCCTTCTCTCTCCTTCTCTCTCCTTCTCTCTCTCTCTCTCTCCCTCCCTCCCTCCCTCCCTCTCTCTCTTTCTCTCTCTCTCTCTCTCTCTCTCTCTCTCTCTCTCTCTCTCTCTCTCTCTCACTCTCTCCCAAAGTATGTACTCACCGGTTGTCTGTCCTGTTTTATCTTTTTCTTTGCTTTGTCCTTGCTTGTTGCTTTCTTCCCACGATCTTTTGTGGTGACTTTTTCTTCTTCATCGTCCTCTTCCTCATCTTCTTCATCATCTTCATCATCCTCCTCATCCTCCTCATCCTCATCTTCATCCTCTTCCTCATGCTCCTTTTCCTCTTTTCCTCTTACTTGCTTAGCCACTCTAGAAGTTGCATTTGAAAAATATGTTCTAAAATAAGTGAATATAAAAATGCTTGCATACTGTGAGACACATAAAATAATCTGAAACAAATCTTACAAAATGACACAACACAGTAGCCCATAGTACAATGCCATCTCAGGACACCAAATAAGCAAAAATAAAAACATTTCTATTAAAGATGCATGACAACAATACACATTCCGTAACAAAATGTTACCGCAAAAGAACGTATCTTACAATATTTTTAAAAATTAAATTTGTTAAAATAATAATAGTTGCAAAATAAATTAATATGCCTTCAAATAAAACATGGCATGTAACAACATTTAGTTCAATATAAAAATGTTACCCATGACAATGCATAGCACAAAATAGCACATAATTATACCCCACACCAATACATTCCCAAAGACAATGCCCAGTCGACAACAGTAATCAGCCAAGGACAGTGCTCACCCTCTCTTGGCAGGAACTGGCTTCCTCTCTTCTTCTTCCTCCTCCTCCTCCTCGTCGTCTTCTTCTTCCTCTTCATCTTCCTCTTCATCATCCTCTTCATCATCATCCTCTTCTTCCTCTTCAACAACAGCTGCTTTCTTTTTCTCTAGGGTCCTGAAAAGAGATCACAGTCATTTACCGAAATAACATTACATGGGGGGGGGGGGGGGGGGGGGTTGACAGACAATGCTCTGATTGAACATGTATTCATTGAAATTCTCTCTCATGCAAAAATCAATACATCATGAAAAAAAAAACATCCTCTATTTCTATACCCAAGAAACTTAAAAAGGAGTGAAAAGGAAGTACCATCAAATTTAATGAAGACAATCTTTTTTTAGAGTTGCAAGATAGAAAATAGCAAACACATAAAATAAGGGAGAGTCACAAACACAAAGGCATTTTCAAATACTTCTGTAAATACAACACCTGTAGATGCTAATGTAAAGACAGAAATAAACTCATTATACATATGCTAAAATAAAATCAGACACATGAGTTACGACGCAGTGGAATCAGGAGCTCCTCAATTTTCTGGAGTTATTGATATCATCCTAAAGCTGGTTCGTTTGCCTTGATTTCGATGGAGAAAATACTCGTCTATCAAATCAAACTGGAAGTTGAGAATTTGAAAATGGGGGGGGGGGGGGGGGGGGGATAAAGAGAACAGGAAAAAGAAGTAGAATGGAGAAAGAAACAAATGAGAACAGTAGAAAAAATTACTCACACTGCTTTGACGGGCTTCTTGACCACAGTCTGTTCTTCATCTTCCTCCTCTTCATCATCTTCTTCCTCTTCATCTTCTTCCTCTTCATCTTCTTCTTCCTCCTCTTCTTCTTCTTCCTCTTCATCGTCTTCCTCCTCATCCTCATCATCTTCCTCTGCTTTCTTACCTGTAAAATGAACTATCATATTTAGAAAATGCAAAAAACCCTGATCTAGATATATGGAGATAAGAAAACGTAGGCTTCAATGATAAACATTTTCTTTGCATCATTGAGCAAGTATAATTCTTCTCATTGATCTCCTATTTAAAGACAACAAAGAATTTTATTCCAGTCGGAATATGTGTAAATCAGTAGAAGTAGCAGAGGCCCTCACACAGTCCGTACAATCTCTGAACTGATTTCTATCCTTTCTTTCAAATGATTTATTGGTAGTATTAAAAGACGGGGAGATTAAAAGGTTCTATTTTTGTAAGGATAGGAGATGCAACACGCATATAGGCAAAGAAAGATGGACAGAAACAAAGAGAAAGGGAGAGAAAGACGAGATAGAGAGAGAGAAAGA